AAGATAGAGGATGGGAGTTTAACCAAGAAGTGTAAAGGTGTAAAAAAGAGTGTTGTAAAAAAGGGAATAGATTTTGAAAATTATTTTGAGTGTTTATTTACCGGTGAAAAGCAAATGAGAACTATGAAAATCATAAGAAGTGAAAATCATGACATTTACTCAAAGGAAGTAAATAAAATAGCTTTGAGTAGTGAAGATGATAAGCGGAAGGTCTTAGAGGATAAAGTAAAAACTCTTGCTTTAAGATAATAAGATAATAAATAATAAATGACATATAAAGAAGATCAAATAAAAAAATATCTAGACATATTACATAATTATACTAAAAAACTAGTGGATGTAAGTAGAAAAGTTATATGTATAAATTGTAAAAGCGATAGTTTTTGTGTTGAATCAGGTTATAAAATTTGCGATTCATGTGGTACAACTAATGGTCGTGTATTAGGTTATTTTGACTTGAAAGAGTACGATCGATTGCATTTTCGAAAGAAAAGTTTTTATCAGCGAAAGTACCACTATGAGAAAAAGGTTGATCAAATTTCCAAAAGAATAAATCTTACTGGTGAGCAGCAATACGAATTATATAGTAAACTAACGGAAATAGATAATCATGTTATGGAAATACTAAACAAACAATTTTGTAGAAAGAGAATGATAAGTATTTTCTACCTTATCAAAAAACTTTTGGAGGGGATTGATTGTGAAAAGAGCAAATTAGTTTATCTAAAGATTAGCCCCCAAACTCTAGAGAATTATGAAAAGTGGTGGGATAGTTATAAAAGATTAAAGAAATAATTTTATATTTATAAAAAATATAAAATTTATTTAAGGTAAGTATAATCACTGTCAAATACTTCAAAAATATTTTTAAATGCTTTTGTTTTGTAATACAAATCTCCAGATGCTTCACTATCAAGTTTAAGAAATTTAAGAGTATCATATATTCCCCTTGTATCAATACACCCATCTTTCATTGCTTTATCTACAAGTTTATTATCGTAATTATTACTTTTTTCAAAATATGGTTTATTTTCATCTGTAAGTAATATTTTACCTGAAAATGGTTCAATTAGTTCTATTCTTTCGTTATCTGTTATTTTAGACTTTCTTTGAAGAGTATTGATATAATTTACACAAATTTTATTAAGAAAATCTTTTCTATCTTCTTCTAAATCTTTAAATTCTTCAAGTGTATACTCATCATGAAAAAACCCCAAAATTTCTTTTAGTAATGTACTAGCAAGAATATCTACATCTTTTTGTCTACTAACAACATCAGCCATTTTTATCTAATGATTATATTATTCCTTTATGAAAAATCCAGTAAATTATTCCAGTGAGATAACCAAGTACTTCACATTCTTTGAAAGGTGAGTTGATAGCGTATACAAATCCTCTTCCAATTCTATAATGTTTCCAGAAAGCTTTGAAAGCTAGGCTGAATATTAGATGATTGGTAATGATATTTGAATCCGAATTTAGGTAGTGCCTTGCTTCTATAAGTCTGTAAATAATTTGATCTATGTCTAGTTTTTGTGTAAAATACTTTGAGTATAGAAACTGATAAACTAGACAAGCTTTTATGAAGTTATCTGAATAAAGTTGTGTTTTATAAGTTGGAAAGTAAAGATTAACATATTCTACAATTGTACTAATCATTTTTCTATATTATGTTTAGATATAAAAAAATGGTTTAAAGAAATTAATTAAAAATAATAAAATGAGTATTATTATTTCGGAAGAAGAACTAAAAGAAGAGGGAGAGTTACTACTTGAAGAATTAAGAGATTTAATTGAAAGTTATGAAGATTTTTTTAGGACAAATTTTTCTGAGGCATTTTTTGAATCAATTAAGAAAATGAAAGAGGATCTTAATATAGCAGAGTCGGTTGCAATACATGAACAATTACAAAGAGAAGATAAACCAGTTGAAGATACTTTACATTGGTATAATGATTATAAAGATTATTCTCAAAATAAAACAAAAGATAAAAAGATGGATCTTATAGATAGAGCTCTTTCTGGATTTTTTATGCCTGATTTAGAAAGTATTGTAAGAATATTAGAATTAGTAGAAATAGATAATGAAATCGATGGAGATTTATTTTGCAATGTAAAAGATTTTTTAAGAAAATATAAATTATTTAAAGAATTAATTGAATAAAATATATTTATCATTTTCTATTTAAATAAATAGAAAATTAAGACTTAAAGAATAATATTATAATATAAATGACAAACATGTTGGAGAAAAGTTTTAAAAATGAAGATTTAGGAATTGAGTTAAAATCTTATATTGACAAACAGCAAAATATTTGGTTTCTTGGAAAAGATGTAGCTCAGATACTTGGTTATAGTAATACGAAAAAAGCTGTTTTAAAACATGTTGATAGTGAGGATAAACAGCTGATTTGTTGGAGGACCCAAAATGGGTCCGGCAACAATTTTGATTTAAGAGGTAAATATTATAATTTCATAAATGAATCAGGCTTCTACTCCCTTGTATTATCCTCTAAATTAGAAACAGCTAAAAAGTTCAAACATTGGATTACCTCACAAGTCCTACCTTCGATAAGAAAATATGGATTTTACAAAATGTTTGATAACCCTAATAATAAAATGTTCAAAATAGAAAATGAGACAGATCTTCATTACAAAGTAGTTCAACTAATTAGAAATTATTATCCTGATTCAATATTAGTAGCTGGACTGGGAGAGAATCAAGATACAGAGGAAAAAAGACTAGACTCGTATAAAAAAGGATATCAGCGAGGCCAACCAGATCTAATGATTCTAGATTATCACAAAGAATATAAAGGACTCTGTATCGAATTTAAATCACCAACTAACAATTACTGTGTTACAGAATCTCAACTGAAGATGAAAGAGAAGTATCGTAATAATGATTATGCATTTATTCTTAGTAATGATTACGATAAGATCAGCAAACTTATACATAAGTATATGGATGGTGTTCGTATTCTTTGTAAATATTGCCCAAAAGCATTTTGTAATAAAAAAACACTAAATAAGCATTATAAAGTTATTCATAGAATTGAGAAAAACATTTAATTTTTGATATTAATATTAATATCAAAAATGTTAGAAAACATTTATTAAAAAACAACTTGGAATCAAGTTTAAGTCTTAAATCAACAAAAATGTAGAGTATGGTTTCAAGGAAAAAAAGTTGCACAAATACTTGGATACAAAGAAGCTTATATACTTGTTAGTAATTTAATCTTTAAACCTTTTTACTATTTAAAGAATAGAAATTATTTAATTAGAAATGGAAGCTATACTTAAAAAAGAGAACAAAAGTTGATTAAAGAAGGATTATTTTTCATAGACTCTTTTGAAGAATATACAAGCAAAAATAATCCTGATATTTACAAAAAATATTTAGATCTTAAGGAAGAAAAACTTATCAAATTCTCAGACAAATGGAGTCAACATATGCAAATTTTAGAAGATGTTAAATATGAACTTAATTCAAGAAATTTCGACTTTTTAGGGTCGTATGATATGTTTACAGAAATGGAAAACTACATAAACACTTTTAAACCAAAAGTTTTCTTATAAAGAGATCTTAATCAAATACATGATACTGTTAATATTATAAATAAAATTAGTAAACTACCAGATCAATCAAGACTTAATTATGATTTGAAATGCTGCACTTTTTTAAATATAAAAAGTTTATTGTTAGATAGAATTAAAAAATATCTTTCAGATTAAATATTAATTTTAATATTTAATTTATATATTAAATTTATTTTTATACTTCTCCACAAAGTTATCCACACTCGATGGACATTGATCAATTATCATTTCATCTAATATTTTAATACGATCTATAAATTCTTGTTTATTCCACTCATCTCCTATGAGTGCCGATCGCAGTTCTACTAATACTTTCTCATACGTAGTATAAGCTAACTTTGTTGTTTCTACCTTTTTCTTAAAATCCTTCTTTTTTGTAATTCCAGCCACAATTACTCCTGCTCCATTTATTACTCCAAGAATAATAGGATTTAGTGTTAGTCCTCCTGTTATAGTGCCAACAGCAATAAGAGATAAACTGGAAATAGAAAAAATATTATCTAAAAATTTGTAACTTTTATAAGATTTTTTATAACACCAATGTTTCTTATGGTAATGTTTATAAAGGTCTGTTATAGTTTCTCTTTGCTCTTCTGATAAAGATTTATCAATATGATTAAATTCAAAAATACTCTTTCTTTTACTACTTTTTCTTTTCATTTATTCTTTTGTTTACATTAGTGCGGCGTAGCCAATTGGAGGGGGTCATAGGGGGAACCTATGGTTCTCCTATTCTATATAAGATCCATTTAACTTTTCCTGAAGCATTACTTTGTGATATTGCTCAGAGTCAGTGTCGTAAAAGATTGTAGCGTACATTAATCTAATTAACACTCCATCTTCAGTTGTAAACTTCCAACGTTGATTATTATTGTAATAAACAGTTGGTTTAGTTAATGTTGAGCTGTAGTTACTTATTGAAACTTTTGTGACATTTGAATGAAAATCTTCTGCCAGCCATAAAACAATTATTTTTCCATTAAAACTACTTGGCGTGGTAAAATTTTGAGTTGTTTTGTTAACAGTTAAGGTTAATTTATTGTTTGATTTATTATAATCCAATTTTACTAAAATATTATTGTTTGTTGATAAATATTTAGTTAGGGTAAAACTCCTATTTCTCCAATGAGTAAAAACAATACATAAAGTATCTATCGGGGAATATGAAGGAGAAAAAGTAACATCGTAAGCATTAACATTAATCCTTTTTCTACTATTTCACTTAGGTCTTTATTAGGTGGTAGTGTAATATTAGGAATTAAAGAATTAATAATAACTCCAGATGAACCTATATTTATTCCATAACTATCTGCATCAGCAAAGTTATAAAACTCACTAAAATATTTTCTATAAAAAGAATTTTTGGTAAAAGGAATTAACTCTTTTACCATTCCAACTGTTGCAGCACTATTGTTACTATTTCTATCGAGATTAATGTTTAATATTTTTTTATTATTTGCATTAACATCAACATTATACACCACTTCTGTTGGTTTAATATCAAATGCGGTGTGATAGTCGTAAACTTTATCTGGGTCAATATTACTAAATGTACCCGCAATTCCATAAGTAATTATATAAACCCCTTGAAAAATTAGCGGATATTTCGCAATGTTATATCCTCTGTTTGAAATATCAACAAGAATGTGAAGAAAGAACTTATTACCAGATGACAACTTCCAAAAATTAACTATTATTCTATGGTAGTACATAGTTTGTGTTTTCCCTGTTGGGTCAGTATACCTATGGGATAGTTTTCTTATACCTACATTTCCAATTGATAATCCTGTTGAAGTTCCTTTGTCAACACTTATTTGAGTCTTATCCCAAAGAGTATAATCTGTGTTGAGTATATTCCAAACACAACGTGTAATCAGTATTTGCAGGTAGTCTGTAAAAATTAATTCCCATCTTATACTTATATTTACTGCTTTTTTTAAGTATATACATGTAAATAACTTTGTGATTATAATCGTGAAAAGTAGTATACTATGTTGAAAATTAACCCCCTTTGGTGCCTTCCCTTGCCTTCCGTATGCCTTCCCTTTATTAAAATGCATATGGTCTAGTCAATGACGTCACCTATTGTTATAACCTGGGAAAAAGTGCCTTCCTGCATACTAATTTGGATTTCCTGCATACTAATTAAGTGTCTTGCTCCATATATAATGAAGTGGATAGGTTTACTAATGAGCGTTTCTCTACTACAATAGGAACAATAGGCTTGCCTAGACTTGCCCGGTAAGTAACTTAATTAAAAGGAAAATAAGAGCGATCACCTAGCAACGCGAGAAACAGCTTCCTATATCTTATTTAGCGCTTAAACTCGGATATATATAAACAAGACATACACAAAGGGGAGCTGAAAATGCTTTATTTCAAGTTTGTCTGACTATTACAGAACTGTTTTCTCCGTTTTATCTCGAGGAAATGAAAAACTATTCAAGTCTCAACGTTTCACGCGTCATTAGTTAGGTAATTATGCGAGTTCACAAGCCCAAAGTTGAATACAAATTAGCTCTACAGGAAAAACCTCAAGGGACCATATTGACGTATTATTATAAAACAAACAACTTAACAAGGATCAATTGATTAAACACGCGACTAATAATTGCTAGCAATAAAATCAGACACGAGATACCGTTTAAAACAAAAAGAGTCAAATACACAGCGATTTGAAAGAAATCTATTAAAATAGTCAAAGAAAGCAAGCTATCTTTGTTTACCACGTTTCCCTCCTCATTTTTTTTATTCCCTCCTCCTCAATTTCGTTATTTTCCCTTCTCAATGTTATTATTCCCTCCTCCACAATTTTATTATTTTCCCTCCTCCTCCTCCTCCTCATTTTTATTGTTTTCCCTCCTCCTCCTCCTC